ACAACAGACAGCAAAAAGGGCGGACCCAACGCTGCCGCGTCCCTCGTCGACAAGTACGGCAAATGCCAGGAGATCGTGGGCCGCGGTGCCTTTGGAATCGTCCGGATCTCCCATAAGGTCGATCCGCGAGACTCCCAAGACCGAACAGCTCTATGCCGTCAAGGAATTCCGCCGCAGACCACAGGAGACTGCAAAACGGTATCAGAAACGCCTCACGTCTGAATTCTGTATTTCTTCCCGCCCTCCGCACACCCGAATATCATCCACACGCTAGACCTCATGCAGGACTCTAAGGGCGACTACTGCGAAGTCATGGAATACTGCGCTGGCGGCGACCTGTACACACTCGTGCTGGCAGCGGGCAAACTCGAAGTCGGCGAGGCAGATTGCTACTTCAAGCAACTCATGCGTGGCGTCGAGTACATGCACGAAATGGGCGTGGCGCACCGCGACCTGAAGCCCGAGAATTTACTCTTGACCACACACGGTGCGTTGAAGATTACGGACTTTGGCAATGGCGAGTGTTTCCGTATGGCCTGGGAGAAGGAGGCGCACATGACGGCTGGACTGTGTGGGTCGGCACCATATATTGCGCCAGAGGAGTACGTGGATAAGGAGTTTGATCCGCGCGCGGTGGATGTGTGGGCTACAGGTGTTATATATATGGCTATGAGGACTGGGAGGCACTTGTGGCGTGTCGCGCAGAGGGAGGAGGATGAGTTTTATGACCGGTATTTGGAGGGGAGGAAGGATGAGGATGGGTATGCGCCTATCGAGACGCTGCATCGGGTATGTCTTTTGATCACCACTTATTCCTTATTTCAAGACGTTATTGTTGACTAGTTTTTTTTTTCTTTCTTTTCTTCTTGTCTTGCAGGCACGCTGTCGAAATGTGATCTACTCAATACTCGATCCAAATCCCACCCGCCGCATAACGGCGTCTCAGGTCCTGAAATCTGAATGGGTTCGTGAGATACGAATATGCAAGGCGGGAGAGGAGGGATTTTAAAATTGACGACCATTAATGTCTAATGACACAAAAAGCGAGGAATCCCCCTTTTTCGCCCCCTTTCCCCCCCTCCCCTTCTCTCTTCTGATTTTGAATTGAGATTACGAATATTGCCCTTCTCATCACAAAATTCAAACGCACAAACACATAGATATGATTCACCCTCGTTTCTCAGGAGTGCTTCATCCTCCTCCACTCAATGCCAACACCTCCCCTTCGTCCTCCGGGGACGTCTCTAGCAAAACGTATACCTCCCTCGAAAGAAGAAGGAAATCTCTTAAAAAGAACCCCCCAAAGAAAGCATCATGACATGGATGAATTGTTAATTAATTAAATTCTTCTTATTATTATACAAGCATCTCTCTTTCCTTTTTATTTTATTCTTATTATTAAAACGTTGCTTTTTTAAAACTCTCATAGAACGGAGAGGTCTACTGCTTGCTTTCTCTCTCTTTTTTTCTCTACGTTCCTTTTACATATTTCATTCACTTTTTCATTTCCTTGATTTCACTATACACTGTAATGCTTATAACTTGTTTGGTTTGTTGATGATGTTATATTTTTACGCTTTATGCTTACGGTTTTTGGCTTGTTATATGTATATGTTTTGTTTATACATTTTGGTCAACTCATTTCTACCCTCTTCTGTAATGAATAATGTCAGTCAACTTCTTTGCATTGTTACGCTATGCAAATGAAATGAATAGAGTTTTTTTTTTTTTTTTGGTTGAATACTGTGATAATGAAGTAAATTTCATTTTCTGATACATCTCCTGGCGGCTTTTCTCTTTTTCTCTCTTCTTGTTCTCCCTTCTTTCTTGAAGCTTTTTCAGATGGTGATTCTCCACCACCACTCTACATAATTATACTATAACCGCATATTTCTTGTTCCTGTTGCCCTCTCTTGTACATTTCTGTTTTTATGTTTGTTTGCCATTCGCTTTGTGATTAGGACAGATGGCAAGCAGGCATGTATCTTGCACCAACCTTTCTCCCATTACCCCCCCCCCCCCCCCGGTTTTAAGAGAATTTAAGGGGGGGAAAAGGAAACTCCCCCTTTTTTT